CCGGATGGAATACACAGGAATCAAATAGGCTATATTTGTGGGAAAAGACTATGTACAAATTCAGTATCATCAGTTAGAAGAAGATGGGGGCCATCTATGAAACAGACCATAAACTGTTTCTATATAATTGTAAGTTGAATGTGAAGCAAATTAATAAGTCCACAAGAGCCAAAATACAATGTTGAGAATATCCCATTTGGATTCAAAGACCACTTAAGAATATATTTAACTCAATGAATCCAAATGACCAAAGACCAAATAAGTTGTGGAATGACATCAAATACACCATACAGGAAGAAATCAAAAGGTCATTAAAAAAAGAAGCAGCAAAGACCAATATAATGTCAGAAAAGACTCTGAGACGAGCTGTAGAATGTAAATGTGAAAAGGGGAGAAATTTTATGGAAAAGGACTGAGCAAAACATTTCAGAGGACAGCTTGAAAATGCAAAGTATTGAAATAATGCAAATTAGAAATATGGAATTAGAATAATTTGGAATTAGAAAACCAAAAGAGAAGAGCACTTTTGATTTCCCAAGCTGAAAGAACTGAAGAGAAATCCAAGCCTTGAGTTTCAATATTAAAGGTGTCTTCCTATGGGTAAAATAATGGAGTGATGCAAGAAAGACCAAAAGAAGGTAGAAGGGATGCACAGTCACTTTACCAAAAATAAATGATTGACACTCAACCATTTCAGGGGGTAGCATCTGATCAAGAACCAATAGTATTGAAGGATGAAGTCCAATCTGTAATGAAGGCATTGGTAAAAAGCGAGTCTCCAAGAATTGACAGAATACCATTTGAAATATTTCAGCAAATACATTCAGTGCTAGAAATACTCCTGCAAGCCAAGAAATTTGGAAGACAGCAACCTGACCAACTGACTGGAGGAGATCCATCTTCATGCCATTCCAAAAACAGGTGATCCAACCCAATGTAGACACTATCAAACAATATCATCAATATTATCAAGCAATATATGATTTTAAAAAACATATCCCATTTTTCTCCCAGTAGGATAGCTAAGATTTTTTTAAATGTTGCTGCTGTTAGGTGCCATCAAGACAGTTCTGATTCATCTCTACCAATATACCAAAGAAAGAAATGCTCCTTAATAGAGAGGTTGGAAAGGGTTGTTTTCAAATACTTTGGATATGTTGTCAGGAGGAAATAGTCCCTGATGGTTAAATTGAGGATCAACAAAAAAGAGGAAGACTCCTGACAAGATGGATTGACATAGTGGCTGCAACAATGGGCTCAAATATAGCAATAATTGTTAGCATCATGCAGGACTGACAATGCTGCATTCTATTGTACATAGTGGTTGTTATGAGTCAGAACTGATTTGAAGGTAACAGCAACAACAAAGAGCCCTGGTGGCATAGTAGATTATACTTTAGGCTGCTAATTACAAAGTCAAGAGTTCAAAACCACCAGCTATTCAGGAGGAGAAAGATGAGGCTTTTTGCTATTGTAAAGATTCATTCCTTCAGCTACCGTGGGCTGAGGAAGGATCCCAACCTTTTTGCCCATTGCCCCCCACAAAATCCCACACCTTTTAAACTATCTTTTCAGTGCTTTTTCCTCATCTCTTATTTTTTCTTTCATATTCTTGCTCCTTTTTCTTTTTGTTTTGTGGTTTTTGTTAATCCTCCCCTGCACCATTTGATGGAGTCATCTACCCCCATAGGACCCAGCTTCCCTCCGACCCTAATAGTTGCCTCATGATGTCGTAGAGACAGCAGTCCATTTCAGTGCACATGAAGAAAACAAGAGAAATCGGTACAAGTAAGTGAATAATACCCAAATCCAAAGGAATTTTCTGAGGAGGAAAAAAAGGCTTTGGGATCACCAGAAAAATAATTCAGAAGGACAATGTTGAGATACTTCCAGTGGATGGAGAAAGCTATGGAAAGCTAGAACCCTTACACAATGATAAAACAAAACAAAAAGCAAATAGAAAATGAGAAGGTGAATACTAAGAGAACAGATTAGGCAACACTTTAAAAGAGCAGAGTAATAGAATTGAAGAAATGAAAACCCAAAATTAGTGAGCTTGAAGACAATTCTCTTGACTACAGCTGACCAGAGGAACAATCAGCAAAAAGAGCAAAAGAATACAAAGGAAGCCTAAGAGCCATGTGGGACACTATCAAGAGTAACAACTTACGTCTCACTGGGTTTCTGGAACAGGAACAAACAAATCCTCAGAGAAAACAGTATAAAAAAATCTTGGAAGAAAACTTCTCTAACAGTATACAAGAGAAAACAACTATCCTAGAAACTAAGAGAACTCCAAACAGGATAGATTCTAAAAGGAAAACATCACCAGATAGCCTAGTTAAACTGTCCAATATCAAGGACAAAAGGATAAACCTGGGAGTGGTAGAGAAAAAAGAATAGTAACCTACGAAGGAAAACCAATGTGATTAAGCTCAAATTTCATAGCAGAAACCCTGCAGGCAAGAAGATAATAAAATAATATATATAAAACCTTGCAAGAAAAAAAAACACTGCCAGCCAAGAATCGTACCCCTCAAATATGAGGGAAAAGTAATGTCCAGACAAGAAGAAGTGAAAGGAATCTGTAAGAATAAGACCAACATCACAAAAGTACCAGGAGGAGCATTTTGGAGTGATAATCAACAGCAGACAAGCCTGAGGTCAACATAGAAGACAACACCACCCACGAGTCAATACACTTTAAACAGTATTCAAAATAAAACAATCATAAGGTCAAAAATTGGGAGCCAGAGATATCCATCCACAATGAAGAAAAGTATAAAGAAAATAGAGAAAACTATAAATACAAAACATTTAAATGGAAAGAAGCAGTTCGTAAGAGAGAACATACTTTAAATATGGGAGGCGGGAAGCGAGTGGGGTGGCGTGGGGGGAAATAACAAGGTAACTTCAAAGAAAATGGGAAAAGTCACCAAAATAGAAAAGAGGAAAATAATAAGATGGTAGCATAGGAACTATCCACAAAGGAAAAAGTGACCAGAAACCCATAAACAAAAGGAACTTTGCATAACAATATAAGAACAAAGAAACCAGTAACACCACAAATAAAATGCACAGCAAAATGACATCAGTCAATCCTCACATATCAATGACATCACTGATTGTTAATGGATTAAACATACCAGTTGAGACAGTGTAGTAGAAAACAAGACTCACCAATATGCTGCTTACAAGAAATACACCCTATGTACAAAGATAAAAATAGATTAAAAAACCAAGGATGGGAAAAAATATACCAAGCTAATGGCAACCAAAAAACAGGACAATATTAATCTCTGATAAAATAGACTTCAAGGCAAAATCCATCATGAGGGACAAAGAAGAGCATTACATACTAATTAAAGGAACAATACAAGAAGACATACTATTAAAATATATACACACCCAATGAAAGACCCTCAAAATATTGTTCAAACTCTAATAGAACTGAAGTGAGAAATAGACAACACAACAGTAGTAGATGGCTCAATATGTTACTCTGGAGAAAAGACAGATGATTCGGAAAGAAATTCACTAAAGACACAGAAAAGCCAAGCCACACAATTGACCAATTTGAACTCTTAGACATATACTGAAAACTCCACCCAACAATAACACATTATACATTCTCTTCCAGCGCACAGGGAACGTTCTCTAGAATAGACCATATGTTAGGACACAAAACAAGCCTTAATAAAATAAAAATACGGAGATTTTATAATCCGTTTGCCAGACTACAATGTTATAAAAATTGAAATCAAAAGGAAGAGCAAGGACAAAAATTCAAATACATAGAAAGTGAGCAACACATTACTTAAAAACTACTGTGTAATTAATGGAATAAAGATTTACAGCCTGAAAAATCACAGAGGCAGTTCCATGTCCTATAGAGTTGCTGTGAGTCAGAATTTATTGATGTCAGGGAGTTAACAGTCAACGCTAAGTACAGTATTAACTGTTTGATCTTAATTGTTTTCTACTTACTGTCATTCATTAACGTAGCATACTGTTTTCTTCAGAATAATGTCTTTAAACAATCTACTCTCTTTCCTATCCCCAAGTTACCTAACATTTTGAAAACTTACAGAACTATAACATTTCCCAAATTTTCTTATTAATATCTTTTATCTTCAAACCAAGTAGAAAATAAAAACTAACATAAGCAAAGAACTTTTGAGTTACAAGTCAGTATCACAACTAATTTATTGCTGTGGTAATAATTAAGGACACATTTAGTTTGTGCATTTGGTCAATAGCAAACTTGTTAAAGCCATTTGGGGAAAGATTTTAAAATAGAGAAGTGAATATAGTTTATTTATTTCCATTAGAACAACAATTTAGAGAAAAATTTACATTCTGGTATGAATCATAGTAAAGGAAAATAAGTATTTACATTCATTAGAGGTGACGTAGCTGGCATTTTTAAAAATTTTAAGGACATATTTAATTCTAAGTAAAGAGTTGACCAGATCAACTAATGAGAATTTAAGCATTATTGTGGGAACTAAGTCTAATTCTGTAACATTGAGTGAAAAGTTGGATCTAGCAGTCATTTAAACAGTAATGTTTCACAAAGTGTATGTATGTTATATAACACATTGATTGAAAGATATTTAAAAGAAAATGATTAAATTAAAAAGCAAAGACAACCCAAGAGGAAAGCGAATTTTGGGAATGATGAGGGCAACAAATGTATAGATGTGCTTTACACAATTGATCTATGTATTGTGAT